CTTTCTTTCTTTCTTTCTTTCTTTCTTTCTTTCTTTCTTTCTTTCTTTCTTCTCTCCTCCCTCCCTCCCTCCCTCCCTCCTCTATCTAGTTCCAACCCAAGTCTTTCCACAGCTCACAGCAATGAACGCCAGCCACCTTACAGCCTGTGTGAACATCCATTTGAACTGCAATCCAGGATCCAGTCTTTCCTAACTTGGAGTCTTCAGGGCAGCTGGACTTCAGCTCCCATCTTTCTGAGCCACTTGGACCAATTCCCACAATTCCCCTGGGTGGCGTGGCCCCAAATCCTGCTGGCTTGAAATGATGGGAGTTGGAATCCATCAAACCTGGAAAGCACCAAGCTGGGGAAAGCCGGTACAATAGAAAAGTGAATGAGAGACCCTGAAGGTGGCATGTGACTGCACCACCAAGTCATCTCCTTTGTTATTGTTATTATTAATAAGAAGTTTATATCACATCCTTGTTTCGTACATCTCAAGGCAAGATACATAATGCTCCATTTTCCTTACAGCAACTACCCTGTGAGGTGGGTTGGGCTAAAGGAGACTTGAACTCACAGCCCCCCGGTTTCTAGTCCACCCCCTTCACCACTACACCAAACTGGCTCCCCCTGTTCTGCTGGAACTCTTGGCCTCTGTATTTATGCCCCTCCACAACATTGACCCGCTTGATACCAAATCCATTGGCAGAGAGTTTTGCCCCGCTCCTGTTCTCATTCTCCAGCTGATTCAGGGCTGGCACCTCGCCATCCTCCTCGAACACGGGGTTGGAGAATTCCATCAGCAAGTTCGGTGGCAAAGACAACATGGCAGTCTCCTGGGGCATAAAGAATGGGACCTTGTGAATCTTTTGGCCTCCTGCAGTCGCCTCTCCCTTTTAGGTAACCCTATGTTTTTCTTGCAAGCAAACGGCATTTTGGAGCAGAAGGAGGACTTTACAGTTCCCAATCATAAAGAGTGCATTTATCGGACAGACAGAGCAGCCCACAAAATGTAAATAAAACCCGCAAAGCAGCTGAGGAAGCCGGAACAGAAACACAGCCTTAAGCATTTTGCAGGACGTGTGGTTTGGAAGGGTTAAAAGATTGGAATCTCCGGTTGCAAAGCCAGAAAATCTGTTTTTCTCCAGAAAACAGGGGCTGGGGCTGATCAAACCCACTTCCGCCCTCTTCTCTAAGTTGGGTAGACTGATATTCCTCAAGCCACAACAACCTGGCTTCCAACAGAGACAGAACATGCTGGATCCCCTCCTACATTCTTTGGCAATGGGATCACCGGGAGTCATCTTGGGAGCAAGCAAACTCTCTCTTTTCAGTTAATTCAGCCCATAAAGGGTAAAGATCTGTTGCCAGCAGCTCTGTCTCTAGGCACAGCAAGAGGACCTTGTCAAATCCATCGTGTTGCAGGGCTGATGGCTCAGCTGGACCCATTCCAGCGTATCGATCACGCTTGTGGCATCATCTTGCAAGGTGGGCTCGTAGGATTTCTGTCCATGTCACAATTATGGCATCAGACTGAAATCCCCAAGGGCAGAGTCTGGACCTGAAGTGGGAATTACTCTGATCACCGCCCCACCCCAGTCTCAGTAGCTCTGCTAGGCTGAACCCCAGGAGTGCCCCAGGTGACATGTGCTGTAGTATCTTGCCTGTTTCCCAAATATTTTAGGCTCCCCTCCTTCTGCCTTGTGACAGCTTTCTCCAACTTCTCCTCTAAGAAAACAAAAACATGGTAAATTTCTGCACTGAACAAAGACCACGTTTGCCCCATGCACTGTTAAAAAGTGTATGAGCCCGTGTGCCACCATCTTAACCTCTGCACTGCGATCACATTAGCTTTCCAGCTAGGCACAGAAACTTAAGCGCAGTCTCTGTCTGGTTAAAAATCTGCAAGGAAAACATTTCTTTTAAATGCCCGATCATCCTAAACAACCCTTTCAAAAGGAAGCTGGCTTGTAAGGACGGGCAGCCTTGCCGCTTGCTCCCCACAAGGTCCCTTCCTCTCCAGGCGTGTGCACTCCCTCAACAGTGTAACTTCCAGAGACCCAGGAAGTCAGGACACGGGAGACTTGAAAGCAGGGGGGGAAAAGAGCTGTGCGCGTGGGGACTGTATAAGCCAGCATGGCTTTTAAAAGCTTTTTTCCAGCTGCAGAAGTGGTTAGGCAAAATCTTTGGGAGTTGTCCTTGACGGGGGGTCCACAGGAGGTCAAAAAGGTCAAGATGGTGACCACAGCCATGCAACGCACATAGAAAAGGGTGGGACAATAGACATCCCTGGCCCTTGTTCAATAGAGATATGGAGCCCGCAGCGCCAAAACAGCCTTTCTGTGCATACCTGGCTTTGATTCTGTGCCTCTGGGCGAAAGATGACCTCGGTGAAGTCCTTCATGGCCAAGAAGCAGGATGGGGGATAAGTGGACAGGGTTCCTGCCGGCCGGGGGCTGCCACATGTCCCCCCCTCCCGTGGCATCCGGCCTTCTGCAGTGGCAGCTCTTCCGGGAACCTTCTGACTTTCACCGCATGGACAAGAAGGTCTCCTCCTTGCTTAAGGATGCCCAAATGTTGAGACGGGGTCCGCAGATTGACGGTCTTTTCCCGCTCAGGAGAGGATGACGGATTAATTCAACCAACAGGCCCCGTTCCTGCTTTCAAGACCACAGCCCATCCCTGGGGACAAGTGGACTTGTTAAGCTGCTAGGAAATAAAAGAATTTGCAAGCATTAAAGTCGCCAGGCTCCCCAGCTCCTTAATCCAACTCAGCTGAGAACTCCGAGGTCAGAGGCCCTGGCATGGACTACGGTGCTCTTAAAGACACAGCACTGCCAAGCTGGTCTGGGGCATCTGAGCAAGCAAAAGTCTCTCAAAGCGGCATCTTTTTTTCCCGGTTTTGTCATGTTGGGTGAGATGCCAGACACGGCGGTGAAAAATAGTTGCGCTTTCGCGCAAGGTAGATTCCTGCTAAGGATGGCGCAAGATGCATGAAGGATGATACAAGCAAACCAGCACTGAGTTGCCAAGGGCTTCAGATAGAAAGAACAGAGGCCAACCTGGTCTTAGGAGGCCTCCAAGCTTTTGTATTTCTTTTTCCTTTTTTGCCGCCTCTTTACTCATCAGCATTTTTTCCTTACCCTGGAACAGCCTCTTGCAATGGGAAGGAAACCAGCTGTTCTCCAAAATACTGCAAACCAGGAGAATCTGTGCTTAATTCCAGCACTTCTAATTTATTACCACTGTCCAGGAGGGGAGCTCCCCTGCACCTGGAGACTTGGTGATATATAAAAATATATAAATGTTACAGATGCTCCCAGGTTCAGCTTATGGTCACTCACACGCTCCTAGCCTGTTGAGACATGCGGATCTTGTAAGCCCCCCTTGCCTTCGATGGGGGTTTTCCAGAGAGGTGCGGCTACAGCAGACAAGACACACAGCCCTGGCCAACAGCTGGAATATAGTTAGGGACACACACAAATCACGTTCAACCGAACATCAGGGTCTTTGGAATATAGGTAGCCCTTGCTTAGTGATCACAACCGTAAATGCGAGGATTGGTCGCCAATTTATTTTTTTAGCACTGTCTTAACTTGGAACGGTCACTGCACAAGGCAGCTGGTAAGCAAGGACTACTGTACACGGAGACCCAGTGAGTTTAAAGTAGCAGCAAAACCATACTGCTTATAATGTCCTTTGCTCTTTCTCATCCACACGCACACACGCTCATCCCCACCTACCTACATCCTTCTCAGCTAGGCTGCCAGGCACGAGCTAGAACAGTGTTTCTCAACCTTGGCAACTTTCAGATGTGTGGACCTCGGTTGCTAAGCGCTGCGGTCACTAAGCAGAAAATCATGTGACCGCAACGGACTTACGATGTCACTTCCCCTTTGGTTGTTAAGTGAAACATCATGTGACCGCAACGGACTTACGTCACTTCCCTTTCAGTCATTAAACGAGTCACCGTGGTTGTTAAGCGAAGCATCATGTGACCGCGACTTGTGATTTTACTTCCGTCTTCTCCATTCATTCTTTAAAGCTGGCTGCGAAGCATGCGAATGGCGACCCCAATGGCTGGCTGGGGACTTCTGGGAGTTGAAGTCCACACGTCTGAAAGCTGCCAAGGTTGAGAAACACCGCGGTAGAGGGATGGAAGCTGCCAAGTCTGGAAGTGGAGAGCCAGTTTGGTGTCGTGGTTAAGGCGCTTGGGCCAGCCCCTCTCTCTCAGCCCTAGGATGGAGGCAAGGGCAAACCACTTCCGAAAAACCTTGCCAAGAAAACTGCAGGGACTAGTCCAGGCAGCTGCCAGGAGTCGACAGCTGACTCGAAGGCAGAAAAAACCACCACCGCTGTCCAGAGCCGATGAGGTCAGGAGCTCGGAGCTGCAAAATAACACCCCACCAAGAATTTTCCCTCTTAAGAGGACATAAACAGGCGGGCATAGAACTATTTGTCTTGTGGCAAAACATCGCCAGTGTTGAAAAACAGAATCACGAATCCAACGTTGCAATCCGTGTGTGTGTGTGTGTGTGTGTGTGATGGACATTTCAGCCATAGACTTGGTGTTTGAAGTCATGATTTGTTAATTCTCATCCCATTCAGAGCCCGCAAGGTTGCTAACATCAGCATTCGCCTTTTAGGGATATTGAAAATAAGCGTAGGGCCAAAGTTAACCATTTGTGGACTGAAGACCGGGGTATTACAGTGACCTATCAAGGACAAAATAATTAGCCTCAGATAGACCCATTTATGGATTAATCGTCAGAAGCACTGATCACTTGGGTGGTTAAGCCTTGCAGCAGCCTAAGCCATGCGTAGTTGGCAAAACATCTTCAAACCGCTGAATTTCAAATTTCCCCACCCTCCTGTTTCCAGCCCTTTACGATTCTTGCACAGAAAGTTTTCCCTACTCTTCCCCGACCCTCAGTTGAAACAGAAAAACACCATATCATGATTTTATAGGCGAGTTTAAAAAGCCACACTGAGTTTCCATTGGAACAGCCTCCTTTTCCAAAATCTAATATTTTAATAAGCCAGGGTCTGAATGGCCCATCACGCTATATTTATGCTAAATGCTCCCAAGGCCTCACTTGCAGAGGCAGGACCGTGGAAATAAACAGCCTGACATGATGCAATGGAATATGGCTTACTTCCTGGGTGCCAAATTTCTCTTCCTTATCATTGCATCACATTCCCATTGGCAGGGCAGTCCATTTTCACGGGACCGGGCACGTTGCTAAGACACGTACATTCCAAGCGGCCCGTAATTGCAAAACCCTTTTTGCCTGTTCCCAAAGCAGGGGAGAAAGAGGTCATTGTTTGCATGCTAAATTGCTTGGCAGGGAGGGGACGTGGGCTCCTTATGGGGCACCCTCCGCCCAGGCAAAGTGAGTTTGCAGTGAGTTTTTAAATGATTAATCCGGACCCTTGGCTGCCTTTTCCTTCAGAATCTTACTACCAAGGCTGGTTGACCTTTGGTAATCCGGAGAGGCAATTAACTCGGCCATTGTGCGCTGCTGGGAAGGATCAGATGAATCCTAGAAAAGGGAAAAGCTGAAAGCTTGTGTGAGCGAGCCAAACTGCATGTGAGGAGAACAATACAGCTTTGCTTTGGCTTTGACTAGCCCAATCATTAAGAAGGGCAGTGTCACCTTCTCCGGAGATAACACAACATCATACAGCAACAAACAGGATTTTATTGTTACACCTTTTCCCCCACGGTGCAAAAGTGCAAGATGCAATTTGAAATGTGTCCCCCCCGTCCCCCAAAGGTCCTGGGTCATCCCTTCTGCCAGCCTGTCCCGGAGAAGGGAACTCTGCCCCCACTTGGGTTTTGAGCAGCTCCCTCCCTATTTGAGGCAGAGCGAGTCCCCAGCCAGTGACCCCTCGCGCCTGCAAACAGGCGGCTGCGACCCACAGCTTGTCCAGCAGAAACGCAGCCTCCAGCCCTTGCGCCCAGCGAGGGAAGGAATCCCAGGGTCTCCTTCAGAGAAAATACGTTGGCCCCCCTGTCCTGGCGTCTACCCCACGGGTTGTGGCAATTCCAGCCGGAGTCAAGCCCCACAGCCTGTGAGGGCCCGGGGCTTCTTAACACAACGCCCCCCGCCCGCAATCCCCAGACCCTCACAGACAGTCGTGCACAACCACAGCGGGTGTTCATCAAGTTGCGATTTTATTTCTGTACAAGTCTCCCCCCTGAGTGACCGGAGTCCGTCCTCCGGCCTTGCTTACACAGTAAACAAGCTGTTCAGTCCGAACTGATAAACCAAAAAACACAAACAAAAAACAAGCCCCCCCAACCCCTCCCAAACAAAGCAAAACAGTAACACTGAGAAAGGCCTTGTTAGCAGGAACCCTCTGCCCCTTGCTGCCCCTTGCCTTCCCCTCGGGGCCCTGGGCCCGGACGGAGTGGAGTGAAAACCGCAGCGGAGGGCACCTCCTTTTGGATTCTGCGGGAAAACGGGCAGCGAAGGTGGCGCGGGGGTGGCGAGTGGCCACTCTTTGCTCTTGGGCTGCAAAGGAAGATGCCCACTAAAAGCAACCCCGATACTCTGCTGGATTCGAAACGGGGGTGGCTGTCCTTTACGCCGACTCGGTGCTTTTAACAGCTCTGCGAGGGGCCCAAGCAAGGGAAGCAAGGGGGGGGGGCGGATTTCTACCCGGTGAATGTCCTCTGGTTGCAAAACTGTAAAGGCGCCTCTAACTTCCAGCCCTTCAAGCAGAGCCTCTTCTGAACGCGGACTGAGAGGTTGGTGCTGCACGTGCGAGACCGGAAGGAGAATAAATAGGAGGAGGGGCTGAACAAGCTTACAGATGTTCGTCAGCTGGCCCGAGGGCCATAGCTCCCAAACTGGCTCATTTTTTTTTAAAACCTCCACTGAGGTGCCTTTTGGCGAGTCACCGGTGCACACGCAGCAAGAACCAAAAGGAAACCCTAACCAAAGCAGTCCTCGTCCTGGAAATGCAGCAAGCAGTCCAAAGCACTTCTGAACAGCCTTCGTCCCGGGAGAGAAGCGAGAGAAGTGTCTGCACGTGTGAATTACGTGGCAAGGGAAAGCTGGGTTGGGGGAGCAGGAGAGAAAAGCCGAGGGGGCATATTTCTGCTGGTCGCACCTTGCGCCCCTTCGAAAGGGCACTTGGATCCGCTGAGAAACGCATCGTGTTTCCTCTGGATGCTTTAAGGCACAGTTGTGAAAAGAAAACAGGTAGAATTTCGCCCAGAGAGTCTCTGCCTTTGCTAAAGTCCATAAGATCCGTCCACGGATGCTTCCAGTTTTTATTCGGAAATGTAGTTGGTTTCCAAAGAAGAAAAGAAACGAAACCCCCACCCAACGTGAAGTGCGGAGAGAAAAGAGATGAGACTCGAGATCCATGGTTCCTGTGGAGAACTCCCTCGCAGCCTCGGGCAGGCTCCTGCGAGAGCTGTGCAAAAAGGCTCGGCGGTGCGCAGCGCACCACGTCAAGGAACGGACGCGCCTCGCCTGGTTCTCGGATGCAGGGCTGGGTTCCCGTAAACCTCGATGCAGTGCCGCAGCTTCGTGGCCCAGCTGGTGCCAGACTGGCATCGGAACAGAGAGAAAACACCTCCGTGGCTCAGCTCCAAGGCCCCAACTGTGGGGCTGCGTGGATAAAATGGGACAGACAGGTTCCTGCCCCCAAAGAACAGCTGTTTGTGGTTTATTGCACACCAAAGGGGAGGGGTGGGGGGAAGAGGGGAGAAGGGAGGAAACAGAAGTGGGGGAACAAAAGCAGAGAGACCCCCCCATAACACTTAGGCGAGTTTTGGAGCTGTGGAGGTAGTTCTGAACCTGCCCACCAGCAACGGTGTTTCCTCCCTGGCATGTGACTCTTCGTCTTCAGTCCCGTGAGTGGGAGAAAGGCGTTCCCGTAAAGGCTGGCATCTTTAGTCAACGCTTTATTAGGATTTTCTCCCTCCCTCTCTCTCTCTTTTTTTTTGCTTTTGCTTGTTTTTTAGGAAAAAAGGAAAAAAAACCCAGTTTAGAAAAACCCCTCCAATCACCATTGTCCTGGGTCTCCGCCCCCCCGCCCCGTGCGTTTCTGAGCTGGTGCTTGGCTCTCGTCCTTCCTCCAGGATCTCGTGGGTTTTCCTCTTCGTAGGGGCGTGCGTGGGGGGCGTGACATGGCAGCTACATTCGCGAAGACGGGCTGGCCAGCTCATAGAAAAGGAGATAGGCGTCGCTGCTGCGGAGGTGGCTCAAGGAGAGCGGCGTGACGCTGCGCGGGGGACAGAAAGTGAGAAGGGCGTTAGGAGGGGAAGGCCCGCCCGGGGTGGCGTGGGAGCGAAGAACGGACGTAAGGAAAACGGGCAGCGGGCAACACCGGCTTCGTTTTCCTGCTGGTTCTGACCTATGCACACCCCGGCCCTAAGGTCCAAAGATGGGGGGCAGATGATACTGATTAATCACAACAACAAAAAACGAAAACCGGACGCTTGAAAGAGAGCTTGAGGACAGGGCCAACCAAAGAGAAAAACACTCCGCCGTTCAAAAGGGAGAGCTTGTTTTCCAGGCTGAAAGATAAAATGCGAACCCTCAATCGTGTGCCGAACATTCATTTTGAGGGGCACTTCTGGCAAACGCCCCTGTTGTAGTTGAAGTTGCTGTTGGGGCAAAAAGATTTCGGACGTAGAGTGGGCTCCAGCTGCTTGCCTGGCGAGTTCCAGCGGTGACTGCCCGCTCTGCCCGGGCAATGGGGGGTTTTCAAGGGGGAAGCTTTTCCACGCAGAGCCCTCTGCTACAGCCCCTTGCAACAGGGCAGCCTTCCAGCCGGGGGGCCATCAACACGCGGCACTCCCCAGCCAACGGGGCTGCAGCTGAGAATTGCGGAAGGCGGTGGCCACAAGCGGAGACCGCTTCGGTTGGGGAAAAGGGTGGGACTGTGAACGGAAACGCCGGGCCCCCGCTTACCGTGAGTCGTTGAAGGCGTGCCATTCTCCAGAGACCGGACTCTTACAGTAGGCTGTGTAATGGCCACCCATCGTGGTCCCACTGTGATTGGAGATGGCGTACAGGTTGTAAATTGCATGATCTGAAACCAGGGGAGGAGAAACTGCGGTCAGATGAGTTTTTCGTTCACTTTTGGGTGTGCAAAAGAGTAAAAGGGCCTGGACTGGAAGCATGCAACTGCCCCCTTCCTCCCCACTCCCCATATATTGCTGGCTTGATTTGCCCTTGCTCAACGTTCTTTGGAAGTTTGGCTTTTGCAGTGTGTGTGTGTGTGTGTGTGTGTGTAAAAGAATTCCTTCATCACAATACGGGCTCCTGACAGGAGATTCAGAGGGAGAAGCCAACAGGCATGGCAGAGTTTATTTTATTTTATTTTTTTATTGAAATGTGGCCACCGGTCTCACAAGAGCGATTCTGGCTGCTGTACAAAGATGAAACCTAGGTAGAGGAACTCCTTGAGAGACTTTGTGAACCTTCCTCAAAACCGGTGTCACTCAACTTCCTTGGTTTTCCCCCAAAAAGTTTGCTGGGGCTCTTGAGAAAAAAAGAAAAAGCCCCAGGTTTTTTTCAAGTGGGAAGTGGTGGCTCTGAAAACTAGGTTGAAATTGTGTAGCACATATAAGAGCAGGGAATGACCAGGTTCAGACCCGCAGGGCCTCATTCCAAACACTTTCCAAAATTAGGACATTCTGGACAGGCCGGGGAAGGGAAGGTGGCCTTTGTGTTTCCCTTTTTATTCCAGGCACAGGCCGGAATAAAAAAATCAGGCTGCCATTTGTGTACGTTTGCTCACCTGGACTTATGGGGAAGAGGGCTGTGGGTTCAGCAGTCCATCCTCAGGTGCCCATCCTGCTTCTCCTAGGGGCCCCCCCGGTGCCTCCCCGGCTGCTTCTGCAAAACCCTCCAGCAGATACTCACTGCAACTCTGGGAAGCAAATTCCCGGAGATCCAGATCCTTGAGCGGGAAATTTACGAAGGTGGTGAGTTTGCTGGATCGCATCCTCGCTTCGGAGAAACGTTTCAGGTCTGGCAGGGAATTAAGGAAAAAGGGGGCGCGCGGTAGGGACGGGAGTCCTATGAGATGATTTTTATGGGGGGGAGGGCTGCTGCTCAGACCACCTAGCTTGGCAGAATGTATTTATTTACTTTTTATTTATTTGTATTTATTATAGCCGCCCGACTCCAAAAGATTCTGGGTGGTGTCCAGAGGATGCTCGGCTTTGCCGTTGCGGCTGAGTGCATGGCTGCGCTTGAAATGAAAATTCTAGGAAAAACCATGATTTGGGGATCATTGCTATTTATAATCAAGTGTCTGCAAAGACTTGCCTGACTTAGATAAAACAGGCAGTCCTCGATGAGCGACAGCAATTTGGTCCAGGAATTCCGTCGCTAAGTGACATGGTCATAAAGTGTGATGTCACGTGACCCTGCTGACTTACAACAGCAGTGGTGGCAGTCCCAGTTGCCTTTGTTAGGCAAATCCCACGTGGTCGCAGTGTCTCATGGTCACATGATCACCATTTGCGACCTCCTGCTGGCTTTCCCACTGACTTTGCTTGTTGGAAGCTGGCAGCGACGGTTGCAAATGGTGATCACGTGACTGCGGGGATGCTGCGACGGCTGCAACTACGAGGACCGGTCGTAAGTCCCTCACATTCAGTGCCATCGTAACTTTGAACGGTCACTGAATGAGTGGTCGTTCAACGAGAATAACCTGTATTCTTCTCTCTCCTCTATATTTCTTTTTTCCCCAAGCAAAACATGTTCGAAGTTTTCTCTCTCCCCGTTTTTCAGGACAGCTCTGTGAAGCTGAAAGAGAATACCTGACAAAGGACGCACCATGAATTCCAGAGTTGAATGCCCCTCTGAATTTCGTTCTCCATGCTTTCTTCTGATGCACAACTAACTACTAAACTACTATACCACAATGTTCCTCAAGTTCTGGCAAGTGGCAGCAATGCCCCCTCTCAGCCCCAGATGGAAGATTTTTACAGGCATTCTCCATATACTTGGCACATTGTCAGACCCAAGAGGACTAGGATCTTGAAATAACAGACTGTTCAAGCTAAGACCTCAACAGGCTGGATTCTGTGCCCAATGAAAATGTCTACACCTGGTGGATGCTGACAGAAGCCTGTCAAGTCACTGCCCGTCTACATCTGAGATTCCCTTGCCATCCGCCATGTGGATGAGGGCACATCCCACGGAAAAAGGAAAGGATACGTAACACCAGGATCTTGGGGAACCGCTGGATGCTGAATTTCTTCATACATTTCGTCCTAGCTTTGCAGCGGCAGCACGTCTGGGGGGACAGAAGACAACCAGCATGATTGGGGAGGGCCACTGGAGTCTTTGGGGACATGGTGGGAGGCTGCCTAACGCAGTAACGTTGTTAGGAAAGAAAATCACATCTGTGGCACCAGCTGGGGGAAAGCTGTGGAAGAGTGGCAAGGATTGGCTAGAGCTGCGGAAAGGGCCGGCTTTAGCACAAGGGCAGCCAGTGGCAGAGCAGGGGCCAGGCTGTGATTTCACAGACAAAGCGAACCCTTGCTTTTAGAGAAAAACTGCAGGTTAATGGAATAATCAGAAGGTGGCCTTCCCATTTTGGACTCAGCTACTTCACAGGCCAAAAGCTCTAAGCTTCCCATGAGCCAGAGGTTGGCCAACACATGAAGCAACAGTTAAAAAGAAGAATACACGTGCTGGTGTTTCCCACCCTATTAATATAGAACTTTAGACCTAGCTTTCGGAACAAGATTTTCCAGGACCAAAGAAATAAAAATTATTTCAAAAGTTGGACTAGAAGACCTGGGGTTGGACTGGAAAACCTCCAAGGTCCCTTCCAACCCTATGATTCTAAGTCCTTGAAATCCTCCTCCTCCTCCTCCCATGCAAAAGTCCAAATCGAAAAATCAAAATCCAGCTGGTGGATGATTTTGGAACCTAGGGCTTAAAATCATTTGGATTAAGAGATGTCAACTGCGTGCAGAAACCCAACCGATGTGTTTTTGCACTTCCCTCCCCATGCGGACTTACGGGTTTCTCGTCTCCATCCAGGACGTCTTCCTTGGTGAAGAGTCGCATACAGTCAATCAGATTCACCTCACCGTAGCTTTTCTGCAGAAGGAGAGAGAGACAGACCAACGTCCAAGTGGTAAGAAGTTGCCAATGCAAGAATGCAGATCTTGCAATGCAAGATCTGGAGCGGGGGCAAATGGGAGTCCCAGGGAGCACGTGGTTACCTTGGCAATGGGCAGGGACAGGTCCCAGAAGGGATCAAAGGCGGTGGAACAGTAGCCGCATGCACTGCAAGTCAAAGAGCTTTTCAGTTGCCCAACAAAGAGATCTAAAGAAAGAGAAGATGGGGAATATGAAGATGGAGGTCTGGGCAGGTGGATGGAGGCACTCTTCAAGCTGCTTGAAGTCCTAAAACGCATCTTGCAGATCCAAAAACTTTCCCCAAAGGCAGGAACACCCATATTTCAAGACACAGAATTGGGGGAAGGCAAGGGCCAGACCTGGCCTTTTGGTGGTGCACCAGGGCAGCGGCATCTGCAGGGGGAGGAGTCAAAAGAGTCAAGATGGCAGCTGCAACTGCGCAACTGAAGCTTTGTCATGAGCATTGTGTAAAAAAGAGCTGAGGCTTTGATCATGCAGTCGCAGCTGCCATTTTGACTGTTCTGATCCACCCGCCCCCCAGCAGAAACTTCTGTCCTAGGAGCTCATTGGAAGCAACAGCCAAAGCTAGGAAAAAATTTAGATGAGATTTTCTATACATTAAGAAAAAACAAAATGCCAGTTAATAGGTTTCCTTCCCATTTTTCTTTTTTTTGGTGGGGGGGTTGATTAAACAGAACAGAAAACAGGAAGCATTTAATAACTAGCCACATGAAAGAATGCAACGGGGTGTCAACTTTTGGGGTCCCCTTAAGGCTTTCTGGGACTGCAGATAGTCCTGGGGGTCTTCAATTGTCATCCCTGCCTTAAATGCATCACTGCAGCTCCTGCTGATCTCTATTAAATGCCAGCGATGGGCAACTGTTGGCCCAAAGGCTAGTTCCAACCCAGGAGACGATTGTGTTGGGGAAATGTTATGTAAGAGCACTCTCCTTCTCTAAGCATTGCTAAACAAGGTGACACTTCCTGGACAGAGTCAACGTGACAACATCTCCTGCTCTGTCTATTTCTGAAAGGGAAGAGTTCTTGACCCTCCTTAGTGGAGATGGACCTTCTCCTGGCTGAAAGCTTGAAGAGATGCTGCTTGTCACCCAAGAAAGACAACTGAGGATCTGATCTCATGGCTGTGTTCTCGCAATGCTCTTAGTCACAAACCTGCCAACCTGCTTTTAAACGTCATCTGTTGTGCAAGCTCAGCCTAATGTGGTTAGTTGATGCTTCTGGGTGTAGGGTTGAGTTACGCACGATCTGGTTACATGGATAGGTGTGCTGTGTGAACAGTGCCATAGAAGGCAGTTTTTTTTCTGTACGATTCAGAAAGAAGCTTTGGAAAGAAGCATCAAAGTCTTGACAAGGGTTGGATCTCGACTCCATCCTCCTCAAGGCCTTCTGAAGCTTCTCTTCCCATGCCTAGACTTGAGCATATGGGAGATCAGTTTTATGCTTTTTCCAAACCAGCTTTGGGGAAGATGGAATTTCAGAGATCACGCGGCGCCTCCCTGACCTTTGTGGGTGCTGTGTTCCCAACCTGGCGATTGCTATTTTAGTTGCTGGAAAGTAAACACATTAATTGCGGCCACGAAATTAATACAGCTTCTTGTTTGGCCCTGAATTACTGGGCAAACTAGAGCTGAATGAACAAGGTTTGGCCGTTGGGAAGGTCAAACATCTTTTTCAAAAAGCTCCCAAGTGTTTAGTTTGTCAAACGGTGGTCAAGCATTAGGAGGATTAAAAGAAAAAAAAAAAGGCAATTTGATCCTTAATGGTATTGATAGGCATGTTAATTACTGGAAAAAAAAATCCGACACCAAATGTGCCTTTGAAATATCTAAGGAAGTTTTACAAAAGGACAATGAATAGTTCTGTTAACAATGTTTAGTCAGAATTCTATAAATATCAACAATTGGATGAACAGTTGCTCTTCCCGGCTTTGCTCTGAGGACACCAAGATTAAGCTTGTTCTGGCACAACGTTGAAAAGGAAATGAAACTGAAAGAATGTAGCAACCTTAAAAAAAAAAAGGAACTACTCTTCAAACCAGTTTCTAAAGAGGTAATTGTGCTGATTGCAATTGTGATTAACTTGCAATTTTAATTGTCATTCAATTTTTAAAAAAAAATTACCAAAAAAATTGTAATTGTAAATACGAAGGTAATTGGGTGCATTTCTGAAGATCTGACCACCTTGGAAACCTGTAGCAGGCAAACACCCCATGGACCGCTGTGTCAGTCTAAGGGGAGCTGATGATCCTGGTACTTTTGTGAAATCACCCCAATGCATTTTGTTGGTAGGGAGTCCTGACGCTGCTAAGTCCTTATTTCTATGGGACCAGCAACTGAGAGGATAGAAATTCCTGGGAGTGGGCAGAAGGGAGGCAGAGGGGTGGGTGCGGAGCATCCCTAGTTGGAGACAGGGGTTTGGAACCTGGCCTCACCTACCAGACCCCATTTTGAGACACCGCTCCTGACATGCTCTCCAAATTCCAGATGGGTATGTCGGTCGAGAAAGTTAGCCAAACCATGGGTACACCTTAAGGCAGTGTTTCTCAACCTTGGCAACTTTAAGATGAGTGGACTTCCACTCCCAGAGTTCCCCAGCCAGCATGGCTGGCTGGGGAATTCTGGGAGTGGAAGCCCACTCATCTTAAAGTTGCCAAGGTTGAGAAACACTGCCTTAAATCCACACCCTAAAGCTCTTTTTTGACTGCCCCGTCAGATACTTACCCCCAATCCGGCTGTCTTCTCTCGCTAGGTATTTCATCCACATTTGCCTCCCCTTCTCATCATCCCTGCCAGAGAGGAGGAAGAGAGGAGAGACTTTTCCAACTGGCATCAGGATCTGGGGAATCGGCATGGATGGTCTGGGGTCGATGGAGGCTGGGATTTCAACTCCCCCGGTGGGGTAGGATGTTTGCGGGGTGACTCTGTTCTTTCTCAGCTACACCTTCCATGCTAGCTAGTTGTGAGGATAAAAATGGGTTGTGGGGGCCGGGGGGGGGGGATGAACCAAGTATTCCTTAGCAGGAAAAAGTGACATAACATTTCCATGGATATGCACACTTTGCCTCCTTCCTTTTTTTAACTAGCTTTGTGCAAGAGGAATGACTCGTGCCATTAGATGAAGAGGAAAGGCAGAAGAAACAGAAAAGCTGCCGTTGCTCTCATGTCTAACGATAGGACCGGCTCCTGCCAAACTTTGCCGGGAAGAAGGAAGGCTGCGGACCTTGCTCTTGAAACTAAACTGGGCATCTGTCTAACTGGGACATCCTGATCTTGCTTTGGGGACCCAGCCACTTAGAAAGGACCATCTGAAGCACAAGCTTGTCCCACCCAGACCAGACCGGTGGCATCAGTGCCCAGTTACTCCCCCCAACAAAATGCTCCCGGGGCTTCTGCTCCGCTGGGACTCACGGGAGATGGTCCAGGTTGTCACTGCTGCCCTTCGGGCGCACCAGGACTCGGTTCACCTCGCTGTGGAGCCCATCGAGAAGGAAGCGCAGGAACTCCTGGGCGTCCTGCTGGCTGCGAGGGAGGAAGGACAGGTGTCCATCAAAGTCCGTGGGGGATACAAGTCAGGCACTGGGGAGAAGGAGCCTTTAACAAGAATAAACCAACCCTGTTCCTCCCCCCGCCCGACCTCTAAATGTCCTCCTGCAGACATTCAGGAGAGTTACTCCAAAGTAAAGGGGAAGAATCCAGAACGAGCAAATGCTAAAAGCGCTACTGAGACAGAACAAGAACAAGAAGCGAGCGAGAAATGACCGCTCGCGAAAAGCGGAAAAGAAGGCGTCGGATCCCACTCTTACTTGTAGCCCACAAAGCGGGGAGCGTATCGTTGAATCTGCATCTTGAATTCGGAAGGACTCACGGATTCGTTGGGAGGCGAGGTCCACAATGCTTGGATGAGCTTGGCGAACTCTGGAGAGGGGGGAGGAAGCAGGCTGGCCGTGAGCATCCATGTGCAGAAGAGCCCGGCTCGGCTAGGAAGAACGAGACCTTGTCCCACCCCTTCCGGGCCCAACGTGGGCCCCTGTGGAGAGCCGGGAGGTCGGGCTCCCTTCCTAGCCAGGATCAACATTGAAGGAGCCCCCCTGGCACTGCCCAGGTTTCTGCAGGTGTGGAGGCTTCTTCCGGCTTCCGCAAATGCCGGAGGGTGCAAGAGAAACAGGGGAAGCGAAGCAAGGCAGCCGCTTCCCGGTCCCCTGAAAAGCCAGCTGTTGTGTGGCTTGGCGAAGGCGCTTGGAGGGGGCACTTTGCTCAGATCTTTGCCAAGGTGAGACCTGTGGGTCCCTCCTGGCCAGCACCCAGGATGCCAACAACTGCCAAACCGAGCGGGTTGCAAGGGAGAACAGGAAAAAAAGAGGGAAGAACAACTTGGGGGAGTCACTGTTATTGTCCAGTCTCGGACACAGCCCCGCCCTCCTTTTTCACTGCTTTTCTTTCCTGGCTCAGGTTTCTCCCCCTCCTTCCTGGCCCCCCGCCGTTAAATCTGCCCCTGCGAGCGGGTTCGGGAGAGGGAGACCAACATCTGCCCGCGAATCTCGCAGCCTTTACCTGCCATCAGAGCGGTCTGCATACGGCTGTTATTGTTGAGATCACGGACGTACTGGCTCTGCAGGCAGTAATCTCGCAGCTCTTTGGTGTTACTCAGGCACTGCAGGATTGAGTTCATAAAACACTGCAAAAGGCAGGAAAGAGAGACGGAAATGAAGCTTAGGCCACTGGGGTCCAATCCGCCCCACCCCACCCCATCTCCAGGTGACATCTGCCCAGGCTTCTGCTTCAGGCTAGAACTTCAGGCACTTTTGGTGAACTTGGCTCCAGGAACAGTTTTCGGAAAGAGAGCTAGGCATACCGGCTGGGCATTGTGGAATGGGTAGTGCCAGCCAGCTGGAGAGCACCAGATTTGAAAAACGATCTGCTATGCAAGGTGGTTTTTTTAAGCGCCGGGCAAGCTAAAGAGGTCACTGACTATGACCTTCATCAAGTCCTGTGCCAGGATGGGCGCTGGAGAAAAATCTATGTACCACTCTGATCTCCTCCTTGGAAGAGCAGGATTTTTTTTTAAAAAGAAAGAAACTATAAAATACAAAAATGCAATAAGCTGTTACTATGGTGAAATAATAATAATAATAAAAAGAAACTAAGGCAAAGTGGAAGGGTTCGGGATTATTTTTTTCGGCTCACCCACAGTGTTCCATTGCGTCTGTGACTGAGTCATGCTACGACGCACTCACACGCAGGCACCGGTTTTCCATGCCTGCGCAGAGATGCCGATTAACAGCTTTAGATGAGCTTTGTTCTTGTCAGCTTCCTAAAGCGAAACTTTTAGAAGCTGAACAGTGGGGGTACAAATGACTTTATCGAGCCCACAAACTTTCCCTGCAGGTCTTTGTCTGTCGTTCAACCCAGATCCCTTCTTTGGGGAGCGTATGGAATAACAACTACTATGACTGCTCCTCCTCCTCCTCCTCCTCCTCCATCAGCTGGTGGGTGGGAGCTGAATGTTTGGGGGGATGGTAACAAGTAGGAAGTGAGATGCCAGTTCTATCTCTCTCGTTCTGGTCTGGAGGAGGACCCAGTAGATATTTGCTCTGAGAAAAAACCTCCCGTGGGCACCAGTGGGGAACCCACCTGCAAAGCAAATACTAGCTCTAGAAGAGTGTGTGTGGGGGGGGTCTCCTTCAGTGTTCAATTCCCCCTCCAAGTCTGTTCTGAACAACTTAATCAGCAGCCTCTCAAATCCAGGCAGAGGTTCATTTATTGTTTTAGAAGATTTATTGACTGTCTCACTCCCAAGGGGCTTTTGGTGGTCAGAAGGCACACATAATGTTGGGGAGGGAGGAAAAAGCCCCAGTGGGTAGGGCAGTGAAGCGAGATTAGCCATGCAACATTTGTGGCAGGCAAGGTTCCTCCCCTCCCCTCCCCTCCCCTCCCCTCCCCACACCATCCCTCCCCTCCACTACGTTGAGCCTACTTTGAGATGGACACTTTACAGCAACTTTCAAATCGTTCTTGCTCAAAATGACAGAAAAGTGTGCTGACAATTTTCAGATGTAGCCGTCAAGGGAGGGTTCAGGGGCCAGAAAAATTGTGTGTGCGTGTTGGGGGGGAACGGGGAGGACTGCAGGCTTCTTGTGTGCTGTGGGCCGCCACTTGCTTGGACCATCTTTCAATGCAAATACATCTTCCTTGGCTTTGAGCTGTCACATCTGGGTGTGACAGTGAGATCCTGATTTCTGAATCAGTTACACAACTGTTTTGGGGGCTCTTTCACTCCCCCTGCGCAAGTAAGAACAAAATTCCCAGCAGTGTCATCCAAGAAGAGGAAGTGAGGTAAAACAGCTGAGGAAAGGCAACTTCCGCAACCCAGACTGGAGAGCTTTGCAGCTCTGTCCTCAGGCGAACACGCCACACCGGGGGCTCTGAGAACGTGGCCAGTGGGCAGCGAAGGGTAGGAGGCAGCCTCTTGCAAGGAGTGACCTCAGCAGGCATTGCAGGAGGAGAGTGACGTTGGTCTAACGTGGCCAAAAATCCGGAGCCTGGTAGCACCTTTTCTGACTCACCCACTTCATTCAAAGGCATCAACGTTCGTGAGCTGCAGCCCACTTCACCGGATGCACAGAGGGCTCCTTCTGATTCTAACATCAGCGGAGCATCTCTGGTTATGGAAAGC